CCTTGTTGGCACCGGGTCTAGGGTATCTGCAATGATGTAGAGGTTCATTTTGTATGAGCCTGATAGCATGTTGAGGGCGTCCAGGGGCCCGAAGACGTCAAGGGACTGAAAGGCTGGGAAGAGTACGAGGCCAAAGTTGACGGGTTTGCCTGGATTGAGTCAGAACAGAGTAGCTAAAGACGCATTCGATTCTGTGAGACACTGGCTCACTGATGCTCACGACTCACCATCAGCGGCGCGCTCGCCATCTTGAGCCATTGGAAAGCCTTGGCTGAACCTTCTGACGCAAGTCGAAGGAGTTATGAATGCTGTAGAGGGCCTTCTAAAGATCACTGATGTGGCAAGGTTGCGACTTCTAGTGAACATGCTTGTTCAGTGTTGAAAACCGTTTATCAAAACGCCAGAACAACGAGGGGCAGCGCTGGGACCCCGCGATTCAGGCGTTGCTCATTTATCTCTAGCTACGTAGGCGGAAGACCGATGACCGCGCTCGGAGATCGGTAAGACTGTTTACGTAAGGGATCACTTTTGAGGGAGAGATTATGCGGGGATTATTAGTAAAATAACTGGGAAAAGATCCCTTCTGAATCGCGTCATCTTCCTTAGAAATCCCACAGGAATAGTTGTGGTGTCTGCCGAAGCATTTGAATGCGATGATGCTTCTAATATCTAGAGCTTGTTGCCCATGTTCACATGAACCGCCTTAATCTGGCTGTACGCGTCAAGCCCCGCCTCACCAAGCTCCCGTCCGATGCCGCTCTGCTTCACGCCGCCAAAGGGGACCCTTGGATCACAGTCCTGTGTGCTATTTACCCAAACCATACCCGCCTCGATCTCAGCAGCCACGCGATGGGCCTTTTCCAAGTTTGTCGTGAAGACTGCTGCGCCGAGGCCATAGACACTGTCATTGGCAATCGACACCGCCTCGGCCTCGTCGCCAAACTTTTGGATCACGACGACAGGGCCGAAGATTTCCTCGCGCCATATCTTCATGTCGCTCTTGACGTCGGTGAAGACGGTCGGCGCAACATAGTAACCCTTATCGCCCAGATGCGTCGGCCTTTCGCCGCCAGTCTTGATTGTAGCTCCTTCATCACGGCCGATCTGGAAGTAGGACATGATGCGATCGTATTGCTGCTTCGAAACTTGCGGACCCTGGTAGGTTTCGGCATCCCACTGGTTGCCGACTTTACTTGTCTTGTGGACCTCGTCGATGAATCTCGCGACAAAGTTGTCGTATGTATCCTGCTGCACGAGAATTCGTGACGTGGCTGTGCAAATTTGCCCTTGGTTGGACATGATGCCCATGTGTGACCACCGAACAGCCTGCTCGAGATCCGCGTCGTTGAAGACCAACAGCGGCGATTTCCCGCCCGTCTCGAGGGTGATGTTCTTCAGTGTTGCAGATGCCATCTTCATGATGTTGGTCGCGGTCGCCGTTGATCCCGTAAACGCGACTTTATCAACCAAGGGATGGGAGACGAGGGCTGCACCAGCATCTTTACCCAGACCATTGATGAAGTTCACGACGCCTGGCGGGAAGCCGGCTTCCTTGATGAGGCGACCGAAGACCAGAATGCTAAGGGGAGTCTGTTCAGCGGCCTTCAGAACAACGGTATTTCCGCAGGCTAGCGCGGGACCGAGCTTCCATCTGTTTTGCGGTTGACGGGTCAGCAACATGCAACTCAGTCTATCGTCACAGAGAGCGTCTTACGTTGCCATTGATATGGGATAGTTCCACGGAATGATTTGACCTACAACCCCAACGGGCTGGCGGACGGTGTAGGCGAACTTGTTTGGCAGGCTGATCGTCTGGCCAAAGATCTTGTCGCACCAACCGCTGTAGTAGCGGATAACTCCGACGGCTTCGACCATGTCGTTTGTCAATGCCTCTTGGTATGTCTTGCCTGCGTAATTACGTCGTCAGAGTTGGACTCGAGCAGGGGTTGTCTTGAGGTTGAGTAGAATTTTGAGGATTTCTTACCGTTATCCCAAGCGTCGATGGTTGCGAGCAATTCCTTATTCGACTCCATTAGGTCCGCAAGACGGGCCATGAGTATGCCTCTGTCTGAAGCCGACAGCGCCTTCCAGGAGGGCGCCTTCAGCGCCGCAGCGGCGGCCTTAACGGCCTTGTCGACATCGTCTTCGGTCGCTGCATGAACTCTCGCGATTTCTTCTTCGGTCCTGAAAACCCGCGGGACATTAGCAAATCATCTTACTTGAAGCATGTTGAACTATCTGAGTCTACTGCTCACGCTGGATCAATGGCAGGAATGGTCTGCCCGGAGGATGAGGGAACGAATTCGTTGTTGATGAACAGGCCGGTTGGCTGAGTCCACTTCTGGCCGTTAGGCGCAGTCAATACAATTGAAAGGTCTCCCATCTTGTTGTCAAAACGTGAACTGAGACTAGATTGATTTCTCTCAGAAGTTCAATCAGCAGACTTGGAATGGTGATGAGGGCCAGCTTCTATGAATCAGGTTCTCGAATTTGGATGAGTCTTGGTATCCAAGAAGGCGTTTGCAGAATCAATTGAGTAAGTAGTAAGGCTTCATGAGATAGGTTATCACTCCGAACCATCATCTGATAAACGCCCGCGGATTCGGCCTTGACACGCGAACAGCTTCAATCTGCCTGACGCTGTATCTGTTCAGTATCGGCGTAGCCTGCCAGGCGGGGTCTAACTTACCCCTCCCCCGCAATGGGGGATAGCTGAATTGAGACAGCGTTTCCAAAAGACATTCATCGGGTGGCCTCCCGGAGTAAGCCGTCAAGACTCTCATCTTGTTGGGACCGCGAAGCGACTGAGATCTTCGTACCGATTCGGCATGTTTGACTCTTCTGGATCTCACTTGTGGTTGACCATGGCAGAGCAGTGAAGCTCCGAATGATCGGGGAGACCTTCCTCATAGAATCTGCGCATCAAAACGAGGGGCAGTGAGTCTCGGGAGGGGAGATGAGGGGCTGAGTCTCCACCACCACCTTGCAATTCACAGAGCATGCTCCCTATTAATCTAGGCACTCGTCCCTCATTTGAAGCTGAATCGATCCCCGAAGGTTTCAACTAGGTATTCCTCATTGGAGCATTGAGATAGTGAGCGAAGTCCGGCTTGACAGAAAGGACCGAAGCCTGCCTGTGAACACTTCTCTCTGAAACGATAGCATATGAAGAACCCTATCCAATTTTGACTTGATGACCCGGCTTTGAGACTGTATGATATGTGAGTTTCATTTTATTCTTGGTTTATGTACCGCCGTCTATGACCACGCATCGACTGTTCATCGCTTAAGCTCACTGTGCTGAACCTCGGGAGCTTCCCAAGACACAGCTTTGGGGATCTCTTCCTCCAAACTCTCGCCTGTCGGCGCCCAACCCAGTACCTTCTTAGCCCTAAGTGCCTCGCTGCGAGCATTTGTTCCAAAGAGCACCGTTCCGTGTGGCAGCACCTTGTTCGCTTCTTCGGGTCCAACTTCCTCCACCTCGTCTTTTGAAATGAGACCCTTCTTAGCAGCAGCGGAGGCAACCAATTTCGAGATTTCGCCAAAGGACTGTGAATCATTCATGTTAGCTGGTGCAAAGCAAGGAGTTGAGGGCCCGGATTCATCTTCACTCACAATTTCACCAACACCAGTGAGATACAGTCCGTTCTCGTTCCAAACCTCCGCCTCACCCTTCGCCTCCGCAGCTCGCTCGACAAGCTGGGCAATCAACTGTGCAACGTCCTCAACATGCACATTTCCCCATCGGCTCAGGCCCTTGCCGACTCGTACCCCATGACCGCGATCCAGCGTGGCTTTCGCCAGCGACGGGATCTGCACGCTGCGCTGGTTGACAGGGCCGAGTCCCCGGCCGTAGATGATGGGTGGGAACACTAGTGCCGTGTTGACCCTGGGCTCATCGGCGGCGACTTTGAGGAGGTAGTTGTCGACGGCACGGCTCGGGTATTTTTGGATGAACGATCGCAGTTCGTCGATACCGGTCAGGTCGTTGAAGACCAGGTCGCTCGCCGAGCCTGGACTGCGAGACTTGTCGGCGAGTTCTGCTGCGGCAAGGGCGCTGGCGCCAGAGATCTGGATCCAGTGCGCTGCGTTTAGATGTTAGCATCATGGATCGTGACTCCCGGGTATAAACTGGCTGAAAAAAGGCAGCGCAGACTTACATGACTTCTGCTCTGCCGACTTGGACGACAAAGCCTTGTGAATGGTCTCAACACTCTTCAAATGTCCAGACGCAGCCAGATCTGGCATTTGTGTTAGTGATTTCAGCTCACGAGGCCGCTATGTTGCAGAACCAAAACATACGGACAACGACATCGGCATTGGAAGCTTCCCGAGTGATGGTCTCAACATCGTCAAGATCACCCTCTACGATCTCGACCTTGCTGAAGGTGCCGGTGATAATCTTTCCCTTGGCGCTGTCGCGGACTAGCGCTCTCACCGCATACTCGGGGTGCGACTTGGCGAGCAAAGACAAGACACTGCCTCCGATGTAGCCCGTCGCTCCGGTCCTGGAGGCTTTCTGTCAGAACGGAGCACTTACACGGGCTTATTTCACTGAGCTTCAGTTGACTTACAGGAAGATGTTGACCATTGTGTCTGAATTTTGCTATCCTGTGCGCTGTAATCTTTCTAATTGAGTGTTAAAGGCGAGTGGAGAGCTGAGATTGGCGATTGATAACCTGAGGATCTGAGGAGGCATCACATGGAAGTATATAAACCACACGCAACCTGCTCGCGCTGGCCTTCCAAACAGGGGTTGAAGCTTGGAGCAGATTACCAATCTCTTCCAGTGGACGAGAGCAGTGAAGCTGCCAAGCTGCCCCACGAATTACACAATGCGCTACTCCATCACGTCACTCCAGCTTTTTTAAACATTGACGCCAATTGCCAATTAGCGATGCTATCTTGACTACAGACGACCCACCGAAGGGCGTGCTAATGTATGATTCTATCTTCGAGAACGGTCTTTGAGAGTCTTGCTTATAGATCAATTATTTAATTCATGTTCGAGACGTGTCCCTGGCAATAGCTGGGCCTACGATAGCCGCTTGAATACCCCTTCCCAAGACGTCGAGGAAAATGTCGGCTATCGATTGCTACTTGTCAGTCTCGATTCGTACCCTAGATTGTCGATTCCTCGGGTATTAATCTACCATGATGCCTCTCAAACACCAACATCGGCCGTAATCGGATTGCAGCATCGCCGCTGCCACCCATGTTCACCCCCTTCGATTTGGCCTGGCCCAAAACCTCCTCCCTCGCGGACAGTCCCACGCAATGAACGTCCCGCGATCCTTGCCACGAGGGTTCAATACGTTTTGGGGGTACTTGTCCGCCAGCGCCTCCAGCTCTCGGTACAGGTGACTGCCGATCCGCGCCGTTTGCTCAACCAACCCGTGCTTCTCAATCTCTCCATAAATCGCTTTGAACAGTAGCGCACGCACGAGATCGCCTACCCAAGTATTTGAGCTGCCGGTTCGGCTTGTCAGGCCGTAGACCAGCGTCGCTGAAGAGAAACCCGCCGCCTGCGCCGTTTTCGAGAAGGTGACCATGTCTGGCGGAGACGGGAGATTCCAGTGCTCGTGGGCCCAGAACTTGCCAGTTGCACCTACTCCTGTTTGAACTTCATCGGCGATCGTTAACACGCTCTTGCGCTTGTTAAGCGCAAGAAGCCCGCGGAAGAAGGCAGGGGACGCATGATTGTCGCTGCCCCCGGCTTGCACAGGTTCAATGACCACTGCCGCGACGGTGTCGTTAGCCTCGTCGAGCACAAGCTCCGTTTCCTCAAGGCACCTCTTCTCCTCAGCAGCATTCTCAGTTGCGAATTGGTCGAGGGGGTACTGGAACTGCGGGAGAGGAACCACAAACCAGTCGAAAGCCGGCAAATCGAATTTGTGAATCGGCTTGCTCCTCGTTGTGGATAAACTTTCAGAAAGACTGCCGTGGAAACCCTTTGAAAAATGACATTATTGAAGACTTCTTCGCACCAGGCGCTTGGTTTCGCACTACGACATCCAGCTCAGCGGCGCTGAAATCCCTACGGCTGCGGTTCCCTGGTCCCTTTTCAAATGCAGACGGCCTTGTACGCTGTCTCGTTTGCATCAGATCCTGTGGTTGCCGTGAAGACTTGATTTAGACCTTGCGGCGCGGCTTTCAAGGTGCCGGTCTTGAGGAGGTCTGCGTAGTCTGCCGATGGAAATCTTCCGAGTGCTGGCCGGCTGGCGATGGCGCGGACCATGACTGGGCTTACAGAGGCGCGGTTGAGTTCTGGATTGTCATCTTCGAGAGGAATTGAGGCGATTTGGGCAAATTTATGCATGAAGTACGCGTAATTCGTTAGTTCTTCACTGATCTACCCATGGCAATGAGGATGGTCGCAATATATACAGATCCAAGAATGTGTTGCCATCAGCATCGACAAGACTTCAGAAGCACATCATCATCAAAGATAAGCAGATAAGGCGCGCGGCATGCGAATTTGACTGACTAGTTACCTGTCGACCTCTTGTAGTCGACCGAAATGTTCGCACTTCTGGTATCGAAAACTTCCTCCAATTCTGCGAGACCGCCCTTCACTTTAGGTCTGGGAAGTGAGGATGTCATTATCTTTGGCCTGGAAGGCCCGTTCGAGAAGATGGCAGCTGCGCGGTTGCTTGATGTAGCCGAGAATGTCCGCACGCCAGCCACAACTCGAGGCCACTGTCGGAATATAGCGGCTAGTGTAAGTGACCCAGGGTGCCTGAATGCCATTGCGACTTTGTGTCAGTTATTTCGCATGTACTGCGAATTTTTTCGAGAGGGAGATTGATGATGCAATACTTGGTTTGATTTCGAGGTACAGTTCTAACACTCGACTTACACGTATGTGCCACGGACCACCTTAGTTCTCGCGAAGGCATTTCCATCACAGTGTTCAGACAGCACAACACATCCAATCACACTACAGTCAGATCCCCATCTCTTCCCTTCTCGCCGTCATATGTCTGCGGATGCTAGGAAGGAAAGTCCATAACTAAAACTCGAGATTCATATTCGTGACTGATCTGGCATTATCCTAGCGGGATCGACCGGCCTACTATCGGCCCTGGAGTCTCCACCCCGTTAGCGTCGATACGTACCGATTCACGTCGCGGAAACCTTCCCAGATGATTTTGGCACGAACAAAGACTGACTACACTTGGCATCTACGGATAACGACGCCGAACTGTCCACGCATGATGAACCACATCCCTATCGCCCAGCTGACCGAAGCTATCCCGCCGATATCGATGCATACGTAACGGCGAATTCGTCTCGTGTCTCCTTTCGGCTTCTCTTTAAGTCACGCAAGAGCACGAGAGAAACAGCCCATCGGGAACACAAGCCTGATGTGTTACTCCTCCCCTACTACAATCATCCCCTACGTGCCAAATCCAATCAAACAGCTTTACCATCAGCATTGCACTTCAGTACCTTGCCGCACACTCGAGAATGCCTGCCCGCTCGGTCACCAGAGGGTCCAAATCCGGGGCAAAGCCGCCTCACCCGAAAGGAAAGCCAACAGCGAAAACGAGGACCACTGCCAGCAGCACTGCCCCAACAAAGAAGGTCCCTCGCTCGAGAACCTTCACAGGCTGTCGCACCTGCAGAAGTCGCCATCTCAAGTGTGACGAGGCCCGCCCAGTATGCTCGTCCTGCCGCCGCCTCAATCTCGTCTGTGAGGGCTACGATGGCCAGCTACTGTGGATTCCGGACCCCCTGTGCTCCGCTGAGCAGAAGCATGCTCATCGCGGCACTTCCTACCGGTACCCGCTTTTCACCGAGGAAGAGAGGAAGACAATGAGTGTCGAGATTGTGACGAGCATGGGGCGCCAGTCTGCCGGCGACATTGTTCTGGATCTCGACGAGAAAAGCGTCCATGCCAACGACGCCCATGTAGCCGGTCCGTTTGGCGTGTTCAGGGCCTTTGATGGCTCTGCGGATTCTGGATCTTCGCCGTTACAGCCCTCTGTGTCTGGAAGCTCGCCTAACACCTCGCAATCTGATGCCTTGCCAGAGACGATGAATGGCGAGCTCGATGAAGATATCGAGGATATTGTAATCGAGCCTTGGTCCGTTGACGATAACTCTTTAGCTATGGAGCCATATTTCTTACCTGGACCGTTTGACAACTTCAGTACCGAAGGTATCATCAATAACATGAGCCAGCCGTGGATGCACGGCGAAGGGTCCGGAAGTTTGTCTCATATGATGGCAATGGACAACTCTGCACTAGATCTCCTCTTTTCGCCATTATCGCCGCGCACGCCAGCAATGGCTCATACCGAGCTTGGGCCAGCTAATGATACAAATACCCAACACCAGAACCATGAAAGAGAGGAAAACCATACAGAAGAACCGACCAGTCGTTCGACAGACGAGCAAGACTTATCGATCTCGCGCAAGCTTTCTACCTCCTTGACTAATAATATGCCGGGTACCGAACCATGCTTGCCATCACATGCAGCTTCCCTCTTACGATACTATAAGACTATGGAATCGTCATCGTCGGTCAAGGGTATGAGGATATCACCGTGGCAGCTCTGGCTCCTCCCCTGCGCTCTGGAAACCTTTGCCGAACTGTCGCTTTGGAACACCACTTCGCATACCCGTCACAGTATCTTGTGTACATTGCTGGCAAAGAGTGCCTTTCATATGCATCAATCTTCGAAGAAAGAAAGCCAGAAGTCAACCACACGGTGGCTAGATATTGGACAGAATTATCAAAAGAGTGCTCAGACACATCTCAAAAAGGCTTTACAAGGCGAATCTGATGAGCCAAGTCAGGCCAAATACAACGAGATCCTTATGGCCATTCTTGCCACAGCCATGGTATCGGTGAGTTCACTCTGAAACCCACGATTCCAGTCGACTCTTCTAATGCCATTCAGGTTCTTTATAATGGATCCCGCGCAGTAAAGATCTTCCTGCTCGATGCCGAACGTCTAATCCGTCTCCGTGGCCTTGCGATGCCCAAATCCTTCCACGTCCGCGTACTACACCATGTCTACACACACCTTCGCGTCATTGCAGAGAGTACGGACATTGCTATAGACTCTGTAAAATCCCAAGCGCAGGCAGCAACCGAGATGGCGGTGTCACTCCGCAAGTTTCGTATTGCAGAAGATTCTCTCGGCGCCGACCTCGACTTGTCACGGGAGAAGCCCGCAGAGGTGGGCTACGCGGATATTCATCTCGACATTTCTGGCCACTGGCCTGTAACGATGTACCCAGAAATATATGGGGTGCCAGAGTCGCTGATGACGTTGCTGTCGCAGACCATTAGCTTCGCCAATGAAAAGACCAAGCTGGAAGCCATGGCCATGTACGACCACCGCATCTCAGTGGCCTTGTCGCGCCATATCAAACAATTGGAGCAGAATATCTGGTCTTGGTCACTGGGATCGTCGGATATGCAAAGTGGGCCAAGCCGTCCGCGGGAACTCGTCACTCAAGAGACGAAGCTCGTAGACCATCCTCTCATCCGATCCTTGACGCTTGCCATGCACCAGGCACTTATCATCTACTTTTACCGTCGCGTCTACAACATGAGCGCCATGGTAATTCAGGATTCTGTACGTAAGACGCTCGATTTCATTCAGCCGTGCCTCGAAGAGACAGCGGACGATCACGACTTTGCGACGAGCATTGGGTGGGCAGCTTTCGTTGCTGCGTGCGAGGCTACAACGCCTGATTTACAAGAGAGGGGGCTCAAAGTGCTTCAGACAATTGATAATAGCGGCGTGATATTTGGTACGGATAAGCCTAGTGTTCTGGCCCAGAGTGTATGGGAAAAGAGGACGGAGACCGGTGATTGGACCCTGAGCTGGCCGGACATGATGAAAACCATTCCGAGGTGAATATCTACATCAGGAGACTTTATGATGTAGACGATGAATGATGTGCAAGTATGGCGTGTGGAGCTCTTCTGTATTTAGAACTCAAGGTCCCGACCTTTCCCAAGAAAGCTATGCGAGCTCCCCCATCGAACAACAATTCCTCTACCTCTAATTGGAGCTAGGGCGGCGATAAGATTGGCCAAAAAGCTGCATCATGAAGCCGCGTAGAAATATTTGTCCGAAGAGACTCGGTGGTAATTTTAGCGTGCCAATTTCTGTGCATAATCCCAACCACATCTGAGCCTTGTTGAAACCTGCGATGGCACTCAGAGATATTGAACAAAGAAGCCACCAAGACGCGATCTAAGCATTGGTCAAACATTTACTTCTAATTATCTTCTCGTAAAGCACTCTACGCAACGACCTCAACGCCCGCATCCTTCAACAACCGTGCAAGCTCCTTGCGCCTCTCCCCCTCAAGCAGCTTAAACGGCTTGCGCATACCTCCCGTCTTCCACCCGCGCAACTCCATCCCCGTCTTCACAGCCGCACCGTAGTTGTCGCCAGGCGCCTCGAGGAACTTGCAAATCGGGAAGATCTTGGCCCACAGCTCCCTGCCCTTCACCAAGTCCTTCTTCTCCCCCAACGCCTCCCATAGCTGTGAAGATAGCTCGGGAATGATGTTTGTCGCGCCCCACACGGAGCCCTTTGCGCCTGCAGCCAGGCCATAGAATGTGAGGGTGTCCCAGCCGTTGAAAGCGGTAACTTTAGAGGAGGTGGCTTCGGTGAAGAGCATGTCTGTAAGGGCGGGCGCGTTGCCGGAAGTATCCTTGAGATGCGTGACGCCAACCTCTGACAGCGAAGCAATCTCCTCAGGGGAGAGCGAAACGCCGCTGGCGGAGGGGATGTTGTAGTACATAATCGGCAACTTGGACTCGTCGTGAATCTCCTTGAGCAGCTCCTTCAATTGCACTAAGTTGGGCGCATCGTAGAACGGAGGGACAACCATCAGCGCGCTGGCGCCGACGGAGGCGGCGTAGATGGCATGCTCGACGGCCTTTGCGGTGGAGAGGTCGCCGATGCCCGCCACGACGGGGACTCGGCCAGCAGCAGAGTCGACGGACTGCTTGACAAGGATTTTGCGCTCTTCGGTGGTGAGGGCTGTGAATTCGCCCGTGCTGCCGCCAGGGACGAGGCCGTGGACGCCTGCGGCGATCATGCGTTGAATGTGTGCATCGAGGGCAGCGGTGTCGATTTCTTTCTGGTTGGGGGTGAAGGGGGTGATTAGGGCGACGAGGACGCCTTTGAGGTCGCTAGCGGGCATCTCGAACGTGTTATTCAGGTTGCTAGAGTGGTTTGAGGCTTTGAAGTAATCGAGATTGTTGTGTAGTGAACCGTAAGATAAGTTCTGGTACAGAAAAACCAAGCTAGACGTTGGTATAAGGACTTGATCGATATTGCAATGTAAAGAATCAGAGCCTGTCGAGCTTCGGATGTCAACGTCATATAGCTACCAGCTTTTTCGGGTGTTTATCTAATTCAAGCATATCAAAGATTACAAACGCAAGCCGGCTTCTCTTGCTTCGTCCATTTCGGATAGCTACACGCGCAAACCTTCTCTATTGCAGCACAAACAGGACCGGAAGCGCACCCGATCACTCGAAGTATAACCAATTTGAGCAGGCCTGCCTCTTCTGTCACTTCTGCCCCTCAAGACGGCTTTGGAAAAGGGGTGTGAGGATGGCGGGGTAATTCGAATCGAGCGAAAGAAGACGGCACCGCGGTTCAGCTCCGGTCCCGGGGACCCATAATGCCCCGCGGTTCAAGTGTCCAGAATCGCTATCTTCATCGAGATATCGCGGGGTAGATCCGGGCGGTAAAGTGGATCCCGTCGCGGAGGCCTTCCTTTAGGAGGCCGGCTTGGCCTGACTATGGTATGTGTGGCGCAGAAACGGTCATCTGCTTCACACCGTCACCAAACAGGACAGCCATTCTGCGCTCGAAAGGGACGACCATTATTGGGGTTTCCTTGAAACCGGTACACTAGGTTTCTGGACGCACCAATGTGCCCCAAGGGACACTAGCTTCGTCATTCAGGGTCTCGTAGGAGTCAGTGTCTTTTTCCGAAGCTACGTGGCGCTTGCAGATCCAGTCTAGGTGGCAAAGTCGGGCAAAGAAAGCCATGATGCACACATCGGCCCAAGTACGCTTGAATTCTGCACACGCAGTTGCAATCATGGTTGGCGGTGCGATTAGGAATCCCTTGAAGACAATTTTGTGTGATTGCCCAGGCCTGGCGCTCTTTAGCAGCTAATAATGCTGGAGATCCGGTAGTATTGGATTTGGTTGTAGGCTGTGTCACGTTTCGTGCATCTTAGATGATTCATTGAAGATATCTTCCGCATCTCGAAAAAGATAGAAACTGTCACTCTTGCAACTTTCGTTGATGATGATCAATCTGAGGAAATGATAATTGGCTATGCAAATGCTATCAAAATACACACGTTTCACCTAAAGCTTCGCCAAAACACCGCTTCCGTTTAGATATGCCACATGACCCCTCGAGATTTCAGCAATGGTTCGGGTTCTGTTGACAATTTAGTTAGCTGTTTTCGATGTTCATCAGTCGACGGCTCGGGACTAACCCTGCAAGAGCCATGGCAACCTTGAGCTCGTACTGGAGGATCTTAAGCGCCAGCTCAACGCCCTCCTGCCCATTGTACTGTCATGCTGATCAGCTGCTTTATCCATTAAAAATCTTGAATAGTCATGTCTTGACGTACCGCCAGACCCCAAATGGGAATTCTTCCCACAAAGCAATGTGACGCGCCAAGGGCAAGAGCCTTAAAGATGTCAGTACCACGGCGTATACCGCCATCAACAGCGATAGGAATCTTTCCCGCCGCTACAGGTGCGCAGATGCGCAAAGCATCTAACGTGGCAGGCACTCCATCTAGCTGCCTGCCACCGTGGTTCGAGATGATGACACCGTCGAGGCCGTGTCTGATTGCGAGAGCTACGTCGTCGGGAGTGTAAACTATTGGACAAGTCAACCAGCCAGTTCGATATCATCACAAGAGGCGAGGTGTATAATCAACTCACCACCCTTCAGCCATAGCTGAAGCTTAGTGTGCTTCTTGAGCCAGGGAATAGCCGAGTCCCAGTCCAGCGAAGGGTCTGCAATTTTGGCTGTCAGTAATGAAGTCGAAAAATATGCACCTACATGACGACGTACCGAAGTCATGTCGGTTTGAAGACTGGCCATCCTTCTCGTTGCCGCTCAGTTCGCTCTTTCCATCGGACAAGAGGTTGGGCCACTCGATGCCGTCGGGTAGACAGAAGTTGTTTCGGTACTCATTCAATCGGCGGCCCAGCAGCGGGGTATCGACAGACAGGAAGATGGCCTTGTATCCAGATGCTATCAAACTTCTTAGCATTTTGACTTCATGCTTGTAGAAGATATGATTTGCCTACCCTCAGCCCTCTTCAGAATTTGCAAAGTGGTCTCTCGGTCTCTGAGCACACACAGCTGCATGACATATGGGTTTCCAGCGCCTTCGGCTGCCACGTTCTCCATCGACTCGGTGGCATAGGAAGAAAGGGCCATGCAAACATTCATGTTTGCTGCAGCACGCGACGTGCCGAGTTCGCCATCTGGGTGTGCCATCTTGTGCATCGCAGCCGGGCTGAAGCCCAATGGAAATGAAACCTATCGGGAATGTGTAAGCAGTTTCCTAGAGAGTGGGATTGCGACTATGCGATTTATATACCGTAGCTCCAAAGATCGAGGTAGACATGTCGATATTGTCGACGTTGACGAGAATACGCGGCATGATCTTGTATCGGTTGTATGCCTCCTCATTATCCTTCAGTCTGCATAACGTCGAGTGTCAGTACTATCTCGCATACTCTAGAGCTGACTTCAGGCGACTGACGTTACGAGATCCATTGCGCCCTCATTGTAGTAATCCCTGTACATCTTGGGGAGCTTCTTGCTGCCCAACTCCATCAGATCACGGATGGTATGGACATCGGGGTCCCATGTTGCGCCGCGGTTTGCCATTGTCAATCTGGTAAGACTGAGATTATCTTGGTCGGGTGTGCTTTGAGGATCGATTGCACCAGCTCAACATGGAATGGTCTTGGGAGAGTTTGAAGAGGAACACTTGATGTGAAAAGAAGCTGCTTCAATGGAAAGCTCATGAGCTTATGTGAAAAATCGATCGGAATAGGTTCCGTCAGTCTACAACGTTCTTGACTTTCCTGCCTCGGCAAGCTGCTCCGCTACCCGACATCGGGATAGAAACAGTACGCAGAGGATGCTTCCGCTGGACTTTTGGACCCTTCAGCGCCTGAAGCAATCGTCTTGAAGCTCCTGTTTTAGGCAAGGAGCTCAATCTCCCAGATCTAGACCAAATGCTTATCGTCATGGTTGGGGTGAATTCGGGATAGCTCGGGGATGGTTGCCATTTTTGCTTCACACCACCAGTCACACCTAATCCGACTTTCCAATTACGTGCACCCAGCTACCGTCTGAGGTCTGATTCGTGTTCGCTTCGAGTGAACCTGTCTTGCCCCCGCGTGATACGTTCCCGAGGTGGTCTACCCAATCAGGGACAAGTCTCCGGCGGCAGATGCTTAGTTGTATGAGATCTCCTACGGTACGGGGGTACTAGGCTGGTTGATCCACGTGCGATATGCGCAGTCGGTACGCATAGCTCTCCAGGAATTTGGCAGCCATGGCGACCACGAACATCAAGGCTACCTTCGGCGAGACCTTACCATCGATATCACGGAATCATATCCGATGGTTAGAGCAGTATTTTGAGGATGTCCAATCGTGTAGGTATAGAACGGTAATTGGCAAATCATGCGCGTGAAACAACCCACTTGCCTAGATTAACCAGCGACCTCTACGATGTCTCTGAGCTGCTTCAAATTTGTCTAGAAATGACTCTCTTTTTCTTCGAGCTTCACCCACCATTTCCTGCACCACTTCATTCCGAGATTCTGACCTGCACTGTATTGTCACCAAGTTCGGCTATCGTCTTGTCACAAAATGCGGTCCTTCAGGGCTTCATCGGTTGTTCGCACAGCATCGGCCAAGCCAAGCAGCTTCATTGCGTTATCTTCCCCAGTTTCGTCATGCCGTAGAGCTCTTTCCACAACATCATCTGCACGATCGTCCTGGCCTACGTCTCACACCAAGATCCCCAACCCTTCAGCAACACAAAACTTTATCGACAATACCTTCCAGCCGTCCTCAGCAAGCAACTGGATCGATGTCCACGACCCAGCTACGAACAATGTCGTGACACGCGTACCAGAGAGCACGGACGAGGAGCTCGAGGCCGCGGTCGAGAGTGCCCAGCGCGCATTTCCAGCATGGAAGGCTACGAGCATTCTAAAACGGCAGCAAATTATGTTCAACTTCGTAAACTTGATTCGAAGAGATTGGGATCGTCTTGCCGCGTCCATCACGCTTGAACAGGGCAAGACCTTTGCCGATGCACGAGGCGACGTTCTTCGCGGTCTGCAAGTTGCCGAGACGGCGTGCGGAATCACGACACAAATCACTGGTGATGTTCTAGAGGTAGCCAAAGATATGGAGACACGAAGCTACCGCGAGCCTCTCGGTGTTGTTGCTGCTATATGTCCTTTCAGTAAGTTTAAACTCCAAGCTTCTCTTGTCTTTTAGTCACCCGATGTTTCACGGGTCAACTCTCTTATTTTGTTTCTTCGCTGAAATGTTCGTTCTTCGACAGACTTCCCTGCCATGATCCCTCTCTGGTCAATTCCGATTGCTACGATTACTGGCAATACCCTGATTCTCAAACCATCCGAAAGAGATCCCGGCGCAGCTATGATTCTGGCAGAACTCGCTAAAGAAGCTGGTTTCCCAGGCGGTGTCCTCAACATTATCCATGGCACGCACCGCGCAGTTAACTTCATTCTCGACGAGCCGACAATCAAGGCCATTAGTTTTGTGGGTGGAAACAAGGCCGGCGAATACATTTATACCCGTGGATCAGCCAACGGAAAGAGAGTGCAAGCCAATCTCGGTGCGAAAAATCATGCTGTTGTTCTGCCCGATAGCAATAAGCAACGGACCATTAACGCAATCTCTGGTGCTGCATTCGGCGCAGCGGGTCAGCGTTGTATGGCGCTCTCTGCTCTGGTACTCACTGGCCGCGAGACGCATTCTTGGGTCGACGACCTTGTCGAAAATGCAAAACAGCTCAAGGTCGATGGCGGGTTCGAAGATGGCGCTGACCTGGGCCCAGTAATTAGCCCGCAAAGTCTTGCCAGAATAGAAGCTCTGAT